GGATGCTTGGACTGTGGTTCTCTTTTTCGATCCATGGATTGCAAATAGTCGCGCCCCTTTCAGGGGGGGGCACGCGAAAGAAACATCAAATATCCCCACGTACCCCGTCAGTTGCTAGAAGTACCATTCACGGACACTCTGCTTCTGCTGCCATCCTCCCTGCTCCGCTGGCCAAAAAAGCTGTCGACATTCCATTTGCTGCTCAGCTTTGCAACCCGCGATGTCTCGACCAGCAGTGAGCATTCGTGTTAGGGGGAGAGATGAGACCACGCTGGAAGTCCAGGTGAGGCATGCCTTCTGTGAAGCCGGCCACGATGTTTGGAAGAGATGGATGCGGTGTGCATTTTTATGCCGACGTTGCTTCCGTCTGGTGCTTCACATAACAAACATGCAGTTGTGTTCAAGGGACAAGCTACAGCAGTAGTAGCAACAGCAGCAGCCAGCGGGATGTGTATGTGCAGTTGTGGCAATCTTCCAAGCGTGTGTGGCGTAGCTACATAGATTAATGCACATGCTTGATGCTTCGCGGCTAAGCCTCACGAAAAGCGGCAAATATGTAAGCACAATATCCTAACCAGCACTTCGTCCTTGTACAGCAGTACGGTAGTAAAATAAAAGTCAGCTGAATCCCTTCGGGATGTTCTATCCAAGGGGCATGGGTTTGTGTAATGGTTTCAGCTGCTGAACAAACGTGGCGGTAAAGAACTCATTGATGCAGGCACCTAGATGGGTTTTTGTTCATCTGAATCCGCGAACGCACAATGGGTCTGCAACGTTGCTGTTGTTGCGGTCGGTCAAAGGTGCGATTATCAGCACTTTTGCTGTAGATAACCTTACCCATCCCTTCAGCGGCGTCAATCCGTACGCATCGTTAGAAACGACGCCATTCCTGCAGCTCACGCAGCTGGTGCAGTGTCATATCGTGGATTTGAACATCGCAGCACATCCAAAATACAACTGACGGTGATATATACATATACTGCAGTTGCTTAAGGAACCTCGCTCTATCTACAGTATTACTTGGAAGTAGTATGAACGCCCCCAACACTGATATTCGCGGATACGCCGGTTTCTCCCACCTTTTCCTCATGATACAATCTTCAGATTCCGTTTGAGACAGCCTGGTGCGCGTGTTGTAGGTGGTGCAAGCACGCTGTTGTTTCCCCTCGAGATCTTGACCAACGATCCCTTTGGAAAGGGCAGCATTGCCTATTGCCTCGTGTAACGGCTTGTATCCCCCCCCCCCCCCCNCCCCCCCCCCCCCCCCACCCCGTGCTTTCGAGGACGCGTGGTCAATGGTCTAACCGCTAAGGCACGCAAAACGTGAGTACACCCTCGCTTCCCCGAACAAAGCGAAGATAATTGCGCCATCCTCCTGATGAATTATTAATCGGCAAGGTACTTGAACCCTTCGCCCTCGTCAAAGCCATCAGTCATCCCCCAGCGTCTAGGCTAATGTGCCTTGTCTGCTGCGGCTGCAGTAGTGCTGATGCAGCTGACGTGATTGACATGTACCGCATCTGTTTCCCTCCCCTTGTCAACGGTTTCCATCGCGAAACACCGTGGAACGAACGCCTGCCACTCAATGTCTCGGAAACCAGTTCGACGATGCGGAGACCGTGGCGGACTTTAAGACTCGGGTGTTCGGCGATGTCATCGGAGAAGGCAAAAGGGTACGAGAAAACACCGGGAGCTTGTTGAACATGCCGCACTTTTTGAGCAAATGGAAGTGAGCCACAGTTCTTCGACAAGAGGAGAGAGGAGCGAGGAGCTCTGCCGGGGGGCCCGCCGCCCAAACTGCCCCACCACATACACATTCACGTAATCCCCAGAACAGATCCTGGTTTGGGAAAAATAAATACATACCACCCGTTTTTATTCAACCCCGTTTGTTTTGCTCTCTTTCGCTGGCCGGCAACTCCCAGTGCCGGTTGATCGCAAGCGGCAAGGAGCTGCAAGACTCACAGAAGATGGGCTCTTACCGCATACAAGAGGGCTCATGCATGCACGTCATGATTAGCCAGAGGGGGTCGGTGGCAGGCGCCGCACAAGGGTCTCCGGGTGCTGCTGCAGGTATTGCATGCTACGAAACATTTCTGCGCTTGAGATTGATGAGACAGGTGGCAGGTGGTCGTGAGCCCGTTGATTCACTGGCCGACAGGTAGTCAAGCATGTATCCTTATCCTTCGGTGTGCTTTCGCCGTCGGGTAGAATAACCCTTGACCTATCAAGTGTGCTCTGCTTACTCGCACACTTTTCGGGCTGTAAACCGTCTGTCCGACTCGAGCTGGGGAGCACGCAGCCGGTGTTCGTTAGGCGATAAAGTTAGCAGAAATTTTTGGTGGGTTCATGGCTGGCCTCGCTTACGCGAGGGCCCTTCACAGCGTTGGTTTTGACTCACCTATGGCTTCGGCAGGCATGGATCGTCCTTAAGTGCGCTTCGTTTCACACCTTTTTTTGTTTCGCAGTACCACAAGCAGCAGGATCGACATCGTCATCTCGGGGCGTTGGTCGAGGGGCTGGGTCTGCGATACTGTGCGCGCTTACCCTGGTGAGTGTATAGCGGTACGTATCAGTGCTCAGGCTATTAACATTGCGGGTGACAGGAGGACTTTGACCGCCAGCCCTTGGTGCAGTTCAGGTGACCTGTCTCTTGGCGTGTGTCGTCCATGAGATTCTTCATTTGGCCTTGTTGTTGAGGGGTGCAGCGCTTGCCCCTCCTCCTCCTCCTCCTCCTCCTCCTCCCCCGGACACCGAAAATATGTCTCACAAGCGACGACTACCGCTGTCCTGTACCGTGTTTGGCCCTGTCTTCTCTTCACGTTTATGGTTCCTATTCCCTACAAGTTTGTTTATGACTCCCTTTGTCCCTTCGCCGTGCTTGTGTCCAGCGCACCGCCTTGCTTTTTTCCGTCTGCAATTGCCCGAACGCAAGCGCCTAAACACGTCGTGCTGTTTGTGAATCCGAACCGGCGTGTACGCTTCAGGGGATGGTTATGGCCGCGTGGACGGTCTACATGGTGTTTCCGGAGCTGTTTTCGTGCGGGGCGACGTGTCTCCTCCTGCTGCTCACGCTGCTGCAGCTAGCGGCGACGCTCCCCATCCTCAAGCAGGCCTTGTTGGCGGCCCTCGGGACTTGTTGGTGGAGACCATCGGTGACCCGCCGACCATCCAGCGTTCCCGGCAGACGAAGGCAGTGACAAGCGATTACCTTGGAGGAAACGCTGCCAATAATAGCGGGCGGAACTACTATTTGGCTGGACGTGGTCTACAGCAGCTGTAGATCATCTCGGCGTTTGCTGGACGATACGAGGCGCTGACACGGGACGAGCTGTACAGAGGCGGCGGGCTGCGTCCAGCAGACTCGTCGTCTCCGGCTCGTATTTCGGGGCGTGAGCCATGTAGTGTGCATTGTATATGTGGAGCGACACCCCGGCAGAACCGGGGTGGATTTTTCCGTGCATGACGCTTCGAAAGAAGCAGGCGTTAGAACGAGGCGACCCGGGATAGCTGCCGCTGATGTATTACAGCTTCTGGCGGCTTTGAGGAAGAAAAATCCGCTGTGTTCTTCTAGAGCTTTCCCAACCGTGTAGGCGGTGGAGCTCGGTACGCTATGTTCGTTCCGTAGTATTTAGTGCGGCGTATCGACAAACGCTGTCCACCCCGGGCGGTGGACGTACGTGTGAGCCTACGTGTTGGGGGGCGAGCATAGCGCTTGTGAGGTGATGGTGTGTTCGATTGTTGTGGATAGTGGAAGTACTTGTAAAAAAGTGCACGACTTTGAAGGACGCCGTTTGAGAGACGCGTGTTTTCGCATTCTTCGAAGGCATTTTTTTGTTTTTCGTGGAGCCTTGCGCCTTGTTTGGCGACAGGGCGGGGGTTGACCGCTCGGGGTATCAATATTTGGAAGGGAGAAGACATTGCAACCGCCGTGCTTCAGGTATGAAACGTACTGCCCTGATGCAGGCGAGCGACAAGAGACGGTTTCGCTGTTGCGACTTTTACGTTTGATGGGGGGTTTCCACTCGGGCGAGTGAATAAATCGGTGCAAGCGACCCATTCATGTAGGAAAAGAGAGGAGGCTTACTTGCCGGACATGGGAGGGCCCGAGCGGGGTGTCTGGGGAGCGGACCGGCTGGCGTTGGTAGCTAAGTTGTTGCTCAGGGCACCTCTTGAACTCGCGTCGTGATGTGGGCACCGCAGCTGCATCAATTTTAGATTTGAAGGGCGGCCCTGCTTCAGTCTATCGTCGGTGTTGTATAGTTTTTTTTGTACAGGATAGAATACGTTACCTTCCATGCTACAGCAGTATGCAATCCTGCCTGAGGCGGACTGACGGCGTTTGACATTTTTCTCCGATGGTGTTTGGTGGAGAGCAAGCTATATGACTTTTGGTTCCTGTATCCTGTATAGGCCCATGAGTCCCAAAGCTCCCTTACGCGGAGGGGAGGAAGTAGAACAGCGTCTGGGTCGTATCCCACACCCCTTAACGGTCTTCGTTGGCCCATGCAGGGATAAGGGACATATCAAACGACTCCAGACAAATTGATTGGTCTAGCATCGAACCGTGCTTATTCGATTCCCATGAAACAAAACGTGCACCTCACTTGGCGCATCACCGTGTTCATTTTTTTTTTTCCTTCGGATGCAGCAACTTTCATTTTATTTTCCATCTTGGGTGCAACTACTTACTTGCACTGAAGAAGACTCAACACCGAAATCTCATGCTTCATCTTTCAGCTCTCACGTAGGCAACGCGGTCACTCGAAACACCTTTAACGACCGCTCCCAACGAGTAAAGGCGCCCACAACCAAAAACCCAGCAGAACCAAAACATCGTTCCGTGATAACAGACATCGTACCGCTGCGTCAGTACCATCACCCATCACCCATATTCTACCCTGTTACGATACCATTGCCTGCAGCCAATAAGCTAACGAAACAACACGATGGACTATGTACATCCCAGATCATTCACGTGGGACATCGAAGCAAAGATCAAGACTAATTGTTATTTCACGGAGAGGAGAACGCACAGAAACACGAGGCGCAATTCTAGACTACGCAAATGCCTCTGGACCTAGGACTAATTGTTGGCAACGGGAAGGAAGGAACACCGCACACAACCAGGCCACGAAATAGGGTACCACACTAAAAACATCTAGGTGACAGCCGCTACAGAAATCCGAACAGTTTTAGCGCCAACACCTCGCTTTGGCGCTCACCGATGTCGCACATTGTCCCAACTCCTGTACCTCGCTTAAGGCGCAATGCCGCGTCAAGTAATAGGAAATAGGCAAGCATCGCGCCGTGACGTGGCCGAACGACTAAGGAGGAAAAAGCGAACATTTCTTGCACCATGTCGGGGCAATCACCATCACCAATAATAACTTTACATCTCACTTCGTCTGAGACAAACATCGCTGCGCGAGAACAATCTCTAAATGCGTGTGGAGAGGACAAGACCCAAGCGGCCCGACATTCCTGCTACACCCCCACCCATCCCTCGAGCAAATGGTGCCAAAAACACGAACAAAAATCAGGGGGGAAGGGGGGGAGAAGCGCAGAGCAAAGCATCCTTGGAAGTCACTCTCGGCGCTCGGTACCCGACCCTTCAGTTGCGAAAACGATAGCATGTTAGGTGGCAAAACTCGGAGAACCCCTTGTAGACTCCTTGTATGTTTTTCACAGCAAAGCTTTGTTTAGTGACTCCCTGGGGCTACAGGGGGTGACGAACGCTGTGCAAGTAGCGTGCACGTTGCCGAGGTTCCCCGACAAGCCACGACTAAGACTCCCTGAATACAAATTCTCATCATATGATGCACAACAAGCAGCATACACAACATTTACATTTGCGACTAGATGCCCACGTCTTCGTGCTGCTGCTTTGGCTGTGGCTCCTCTGGGAGGGCCTTGGAGCTGCTCAAGTCGGCCGCTTGCAGGACAAGGTCAACCGCGTGTGACACCTGGGCGGGGGGAGGGGGGNGGGGGGGGGGTGTACTCATAGTCGTGCATGCCGTAGTCGTTAGACCATTGACCTCGCATCCCTACGAAGCCGGGACGGAGCACGCCGGGTTCTCACCGGGCCAGGCTCTCACATCACCAAGCGCGAAGCGGCGTGAGATATTCGGCGAGTTGCATGAAGGGTGCGCGGCATCCTGCTGAGGGTTTTCGGCATCTTGTGCTTACTTCCTTGCGTACGGATGACAGCTGCCTATGACTTAATTTACTTTCTGGCGCTTTCACTTCAGTTTTAAGTACTGGGTAACTGCCTTGAGGGTGCTTGACCATTTTAACACAACGTGGTGCGACCACCCCCCTTGCGCGGAGTGAGGGTTCTCGACCCCGCACAACATGATCTACGCGACCATCATCTTGTGTGTATGTGTTTTCATCCTATTTATTATGGCGACAGGCCCCCCATTTTTCGTGGTGAGACGGGTACTACACTTTTCAGCGTATGTAGAGTACTACACTTTTCAGTGTATTTTTCCTTAAACTACAAGCATCCAGGGTCACACTGGAGGGGGTAAACAGGGCTTCTTTTCTTATTTTTATTTCTTTTCATGCCCCACCTTCCTGCGGTGCGTGCTGAATTATATTTTTATCGCGAGAAGGGTCCAGCCGTCCCTTTCCCTCGTCAACAACGGTGCTAACGTCGAAGTTTGGTACTCACGAGAGCTCATTAGCTATATTTCGCTTTCACCCGAAAAATTTCGAAAAATTTTCACCCCATCGGGATTCGAACTCAGACCTCTGCGAGAAGCGAACAACGAGGATACCACTAGACCACCGGTGCAACCGGATCACGTTGGTTACCGCCAAAAAAAACACAGAGGTAAAAAAAAACGGTAACCTGGTTGCCGAGGTCACGAAGTGAATTGGCTTGTTTTACAACGTCGTTGCCAAGCGACGAAAACCC